TGGACGCACGGTGTTGAGCAAAAGGCACGGGGGGAGGGTACCTTCCTTACAGGTAAAAGTCTGCACAAACCTTCCATTAGGGTCTGATCTGACGTATCACCGTCACTTGGAGCCTGCATGATGGCTCAGAGCCTGGAGCCTGCTTCCGATTCTGTGTCTCCCTCTCTCTCTGCCCCTCGCCCGTTCATGCTCTGTCTTTCTCTGTCCCAAAAATAAATAAACGTTAAAAAAAAAATTTTTTTTTAATTAAAAAAAAAAAAAAAAGACAGACACCTGTCTTGTGTTCCCCACAGCGCGTAGCCCGATGCCTGACTCAGCGTATTCATTAATAAGCGACTGGATTGGGGCGCCTGGGTGGCGCAGTCGGTTAAGCGTCCGACTTCAGCCAGGTCACGATCTCGCGCTCCGTGAGTTCGAGCCCCGCGTCGGGCTCTGGGCGGATGGCTCAGAGCCTGGAGCCTGTTTCCGATTCTGTGTCTCCCTCTCTCTCTGCCCCTCCCCCGTTCATGCTCTGTCTCTCTCTGTCCCCAAAATAAATAAACATTGAAAAAAAAAATTAAAAAAAAAATAAGCGACTGGATGGACACGTGTGTGCACGCGTACTGTTTGGCACTTTTGAATCCGAAAGAAAATCTGAAGTCGTTGTCAACCCAGTTGCCGGGAGAATGAAGACCGGTCTCACGTGGCGGCTGGTGTAGAGCTGCTGGCCCCGAGGATGCATTTCCCAGGCTGCTCGTGCTCCCACCGAGAATTGTCATCACAGCAAGGCCAGAACCACAACACGGCCCTACATAGTTGCCCATCTTCCATCCCAACCCTACAGGCACCCACAGACGAATATTTCACAGACACCGATCCTGGGGACTGCGTCATTCCGGTCCCAACAGCCAGTCGCAGGGGATCACGTATCTTTATTCCTAAACTCAAGACAAGACAGATCCAGAGCTCGGTAGAGGAAACAAAACACGAAACAGTCAAGCGCCTTGACGAGTTCACAGAAAGGCATACAAAAGCACTTAAAAACTGCCCAGCCCCACTTTTTAGAGAAAGGCAAACATAGTCACATCGCATTATCATTTTTCACCTAACGACGGACAAGGGGGCGGGTTTGACTACATGCTGATGTGACGAAAGTGCGGGGAGACAGGCTGCTGGGGACACCGCGGAGTCAGCAGGGTCAGCCTCACCGGGGGACAGGTCAGCACGACTCATCCTAGGAAGAACTGGAAAACCCTCGGAGCCGGCCCTTGTATGGCGTGACACATGTTCAAAGTTGCTCGTGGTCCTCGGGGTATGATGGGAAACTGTCCGTGGGAGGAAAGGCGTGGAGAGAGTTTTCCCTGGGTGCTCTTCTGAACCTTTTGCATTTTGTTCTGAGTCTTTTCAGAAAAAGACACAAAATTCCAAAATTCAGAAGAACTTTAAGCCTAAGGGGGGAGAAGCCTTTCAAAGCAAAGCCACGTTGGTGAATGGGCACCAAGTGTCGGTAGTGATGAAGACATGGTTCTGGAGATGGACGGTGGTGACGGCCACACAACAACGTCAGCGCACTCGATGCTGCTGCGCCGTCTGCTGGGGGGCTCAGTCGGTGATGCGTCGACTTCGGCTCAGGTCATGATCTCGCGGCTTGTGAGTTCAAGCCCCGCGTCGGGCTCTGTGCTGACAGCTGGGAGTCTGGAGCCTGCTTCGGATTCTGCATCTCCCTCTCTCTCTGCCCCTCCCCTGCTCATGCTCATCTCTGTCTCAAAAATAAGTGAAAATAAAAAAATAAAAAATAAATAAAAAAAATAAAATGTGTGGGGCACCCAGGTGGCTCAGTCGGTTGAGCATCCGACTTCAGCTCAGGTCACGATCTCGCGGTTCATGAGTTCGAGCCCCGCGTCGGGCTCTGGGCCGACAGCTCGGAGCCTGGAGCCCACTTTGGATTCTGTGTCTCCCTCTCTCTCTGCCCCTCCCCTGCGCGTGCTGTCTCTCTCAAAAATAAATAAACGTTAAAATAAATTTTTTAAAGTGGTAACAATGGTCGATGTTATGTTTTGTGTGTTTAACTACAATAGAAATAGTTTGAAAACGAAACAAGCACACGAGACTGAATCGCGAGGCCACATTCAAACGCCGTCGTTCAGAAGACTGCCACACTGAGCAAACTCAGGGGCTGAGACTACCTGAATTCTCTCTGGATAGTCCTGATTGTGTATAATGTTATCGTTCTTAATAAATGAACTTTATTCATTGTAAAAGCAAATTGCAATTTAACTTTATGTTGTGAATTTCTATGAAAACACAATGCAGGGGAAAAAAATCCTTTGCCCTGCTATGTGAAATTGATTTTTGCCTTAAAAAAGAAAAATGTGATCTTGGCGGGGTGCCTCCGTGGCTCAGACCGTAAAGTGTCCAACTCAATTTCGGCTCAGGTCACAAAATCACAGTTTGCAGGACAGAGCCCCGTGTCAGGCTCTGTGCTAACAGCACAGAGCCTGCTTGGGATCCTCTGTCTCCCTCCCTCTCTGTCCCTCCCCTACTCTCTCTCTCTCTCTCTCTCTCTCTCTCTCTCTCTCTCTCTCAATCTCTCTCAAAAACCATCCAACCAACCAACAAACAAACATTTTAAAAAATGTGATCTTGGGGCACCTGGGTGGCTCCGTTGGTTAAGCGTCTGACGCTTGGTTTCAGTTCAGGTCCTGATCTTGCGGCTCAGGAGTTTGAGCCCCACACTGGACTCTGTGCTGACAGTTCAAAGCCTGCTTGGGATTCTCTCTCCCTTTCTCCGCCCCTCCCCCACTCGCTCTGTCTCTCTCAAAACAAATAAACTTTAAAAAATTAAATTAAACATGTGACCTTGGTGAAGATTGCATTCAGAATGAAATGGCTCATCCCAAGGCATAATGTACACTCTAAATTATACTAGGAAGTCCTAAGAAAACTGGCCTAGATTACCCCAAACAGTGAATTTAGTCAATATATTTCAGCAAGAACTCAACAGTCAAAAATGCAATAGATGAATACGCAAAGTGGAAATACGAAAATACACATTCTATTTTGTTGCAAAGGGCATCCAAAAAGTGCTATTAAGGCCATCCAGTATAGATCATGATAAAGAGAATTATTCTCCTATGTTCAGTGATGGAGATGAATTAGTTGAACAGAGAAACAGGTATTTGCCTTACACGTTCATTTTTAGAAACAGATCCAGATACACACACACACACACACACACACACACACACACACACACACGTTCCCAACCGGTCAAGAAATAATGAGCTCAAGCGACCCCCACCGCTGAATTCTAACTCCCCTCTGTGTAACTATCACTTTAACACCCTGAAGACTGTCTACACCAGTCAGATTGTAACTATCTGCCTCCACGACTGCACCACGCTCCTCAAAAGCAAGAACAGGTTTTTGGTTCACCCATTCCTCAGTGCCTAGCCCCTGAAGGAGGATTTCATCTTTGCTGAATGGAAGTGAATTTGAACCCCCAATTCTTTCCAGTCCAGTATAACTACGGTCCCATCAGCTACCTCACTTCAAATCCGAGTAGAACGCGCAAGCCCTCTGTCCCTGAGCGGCCAACAGGTTCTGCAGGGCAGTCACTTTGTTGCAACCCTTATTTTAGTAGCAATACGTTACATCATGATGTCACTTGGGGATTTAGATCGTCTGACCTCAAATGACATGAATATCAGCTCGTTGGTAACGGCTGCTATTGATAAAACAGCGAATCTCTACTTCTGGCTCATTATCATTTGGCCAATTCAGTATTTGGAAGCCTAACTAGTTCCTAAGGGGGAAAAAACAACACCTGCCATAAACCCATTCCCTTGAGCTCACGGCCATCCCTTTTGACTGCTTCTCGCGGAGCTAAAGCAAGTGGCTGGATGCAAAGCATACGTGTAATGTGATCCAATAAGTAGGTACTTTCCTCAGAAGCTTTCCACTGACAAGACGACAGAGTCAAATAAACCCTTAGTTCTCGGTCCACAGTTGATTTGTTGTGGGAACACACCTGCTTCATCTTCGATCCACACGTTTTCTTGGGGATTCTTCTTGTGAGTAGGAACTGTAGAACTAGAAGGTTCTTTCATGACATGTGAAGGACGAGATCCTGCCACCGCCTCTAATTAAGGTACAAACCAGGATCTCGGGAAGGATGATGGGGAATGAGGCGTCTGCAGGCCGACAGAGCACTCGGCACCCCCTCCGAGACCCCAGAGGGTAAACACCACCGTAGCACGGAGGTCCTCAGTCCGTGGAAAGCTACCTTCCCGAGGGACAGACACCGGAGCCGCTCTTCAAAATCCTCATCACCTGGAACCGGCTGTCCAGCCTAATCGGGCTTTCCTGCCTCGTCTCGGCAGCCTGCTCGCACCCCAGGTAGAATTACTGCTTCCGGCCCCCTACAAGGCCTGGTTCCCATGAGAACGTCACCACCGGGAGGGTGGCTTCTATGTCCTCGTCTGGCACTGCAGAGGGGTCCCTATGTTTTGAATGGCTGGTGGATTGGTCTCACTGAGGAAACCGGCTCAGTCGGAAGAGCGGGCGACTCCTGATCTCCCCGGGTCATGAGTTCGAGCCCCGTGTTGGGTGTAGAGATAAATAAATACACTTAATTTTAAAAAATAAAAAATAAGTCAAGGGAAGAGCTGGTGTCCTGTGGCACATAATTTACTCCCATGAGCCTCCTTTGCCATCTGTACTCCGTACGTCCACCCAGTATCATTTACATTCAGTTTGTACGTTTCCTAACCATTACCCAGTGTATTTTACAGACATACTTTCTATTTGTTACTTGGAAGTTCTTGCAAACAGAATTCCTTGTCTCCCAAAGCCATTCAGAGTGGGCACTCAATAAATGCTTGAGGAACAGACTCATGCATTCTGTTTCCCAAGTGACCCTCTAGGTAAGAGCTGGTAAATGTCGGCATATAGCCAGTGTAAGAGATTGGCCTATAATCTCAGTTTTTCCCGGACATTTCTGATGCAGTAAATGACAAATATACCATAATATAAGAAAATGGTTTTATTCCTAATTTTTAGTTTCCATACAGTTTACAAATACATGTTTACTCTGATAATACAGCTTTGCAACTAGTAACGCAGTTGAACTAACACCCATAAATACAGGTGGGGAGACCATTAACATCCACTAATGTTTCTCTACATAAACTATTCTTTTCATGTCATTTTTTTTTTAAACAATTGCAAATAGACTACATAATACGTGGGCAAAAAGGCAATTAAGTGAATCTCTTGAAACACTAAATGTATAATAAACAGTGCATATTATCAACATTTACATGATTCACATCAAAATGATGACATCCTAAAACGTATTCCTTTTAAAGGATAGATTTATCAATAAAATATTACATATCTTTTAATACTCTGGTACAATACTTCATATACTGCAGGAAAATTAAATGTAGGTCTAGTCATCAGCTTAAAAAAGGATCCTTTTCTATTAGCTTTTATTAATAAAAGAATCACAATTATGTCATAAATAAACAGGCAAATTATTAATTACATGATTTGAGGTTTAGGATGAAAACTTGTAGAAATTAGTTTGATATACAGTAAAGTTATACAACACACTAAAACCAACTGTTTAATATTTCTGCCTTGTGTGAACTGCCCATAGTGAAAAAAGAACAAACTTTCTAATGATGGAAGATAGAATAAACTAGGTTTTGGAACTTATTTTTCAAGAGCAGGAGGGAGAAAGATTTCAACAGAATTACGGGCTAATACAGATCCTGATAAAGGCATCTTGAAATCAGGGAGGCCATGTGCTTGCTATATAAACCGTGAATCCCCCAACAACATACAGAAAACAGAAACTGTACCGGGAGCGCACTTAACGTCTACAGTCTAAGTTTCCCTTATGGATTAATAAGCTACAACAAAACACAATTGCATACCTTTCCACCTTCCCCTGAACTAGAAATAACCCAGGATGTTATATTAGTTCTTCAGATCCCCAGTAAAATAACCCCTAAAAAATAATCTTGATAATCTTCTTGGCTGTTGCAAAGCCACTAGGCTCCGTGAAGAACCTACAAACACCAAGAAAGTCATATATGTCTTTTCTCATCCCCATTTAGCCGCATCTGAAGAGGGTAAGAGGGAGAGAGGATCATAATTTTCAGGAGGGCCACACACTGGATATGAGGTGTCTTTTTACTTGCTTAAAAAAAAGCTATTAAGACTCTGAAATTTGGCTTTTTGAAAAAAACCTTAATGCCAAGTGTCAGATAATTTCTTCACCCCAAATACAAAACCCTATCCTATGCTGATAATTTTAAAATCCTCAACCAGCTATGGGATATTGTGCAAATTTAACGTCTACCGGCAACCCAGAAGCAGACTAAACACCTGTATCTATCACACCTACTTTCCGGGTAACCCGGTTCAACCAAGCATGGACTGCTCTGGCCCCGGGCCCTTCAACTTCCTCACACACCACCTCTTTGGAACTTTCACGTCCACACTTTTTAACGGCTGTACCTCAAGCGCCCCACGTCTTCACAGCTCTCTCTTCCCGATTCCATCTCGTGGAGAGTGATCTCATCTGAGAACCTCCCATCACCTCTCACCAAACACGTAACAGACCTCAGCAACCTAGGGACTATCGCAATCTTGTCTTGGCCTAAGTTTACATAACATGATGCTTTGCGGACTTCGTGGAGGGAAATCTAAGTGAAGTCAGTGTCCTGTAACAAACGAAGCCAGCCGAGACCAAGGGTTTCTGTTCCAAGTACAAAACAACTTAATCTTAAGCTACAGGCAGAGACGTTAATGCAGCAGGTATACGTGTACCATCGAACCCTTGTATGCTGGTGAAAGACTTTGCCCCCAAAGTCCAGAGTCTAAGCTATACCACAAAATCAAGGCAAAGGAGAACAATTCAATGTGGCAGTGCAACGGAAAGAACAGGATTCAAGATCCTTGTTGCAAACACTGAACTGGAATCTCTTTCTTTACAGGCTTGACAGGAAGACAGTCGTCACTGACATTCCTCTGATGAGGTAATGACCTCTGAGCCACACCTGTGTTCTAAAGCAATGCTAGGTTCGAGGGACAAGGGGACCCGAGGGGGGTGGGGTCGATGCGCATTCTGTCTGTGAAAGTGGCAGCGGAGGCTCTTCCCAAACTTCCTCAGGGTTTTACGGGAGGTAAAGACCTCAGGAAGGAAGTACTACTGGGGCCGGACCTAGTCCTTCCCTTCGGGAGCCAGAGCAAGAAGAGTCTGAGTTAAGGGGACGGTCACCTAATGGCAAAGCTGCCGTGTCACTTCATCATCTTTACGAGGTCAACCAATGATACTTTAATTGAAATACACTCACTGGATGATGATTCAACACGAGGCAAAGAGGACGTCTCTGGAGAAGGCACTTCAGGTAGAACGGTAGCAAATCTCACTGCTTGGTTAAAACAAAAATGAGCGACTGCCGATGCGATCTCATCAGCGGCCTCGTTAGGAGGCCCCCGCTTTGCCGCAGCCTGGCCGAAACCACCGGCGTGGAGAGGGCACCACAGTCGCCTCCCTCTGTGGGCACCACGGTGACAGGGTGGTTCTGCCCCCTAAACACACCCATCCTTACGAGACCGGTCTCCCCAAGGGATGGTTCAGAAAATATGCTCAGAGCCAGCAGAAATGGTTCAGGAGGCTTCTAGAAGGCCCTCTGTCCTTCTCTTTGACTTCCAGCTTACACAGGCTATTATACGCAGCTTCGATTTCCCAACGTCACCAGCAGCTTCTACTTTCGCTAACTGCTGCCGTCTTCCCGTGGCACTGACTCTGACATTCGGTTACTCTGCCCCCCCCCCCCCCCGTGAATCACACCTCAGCTTCATGCTCTCGTGCCATCCCCTCTTCCTGACTCTGGGCTGGGCCCGTGACTTGCTCCAATCAACAGGGGGCAGTAGAAGTTCTGGGTTGAAGTCTTAAGAAGGTCTGGCAACTACTGCCTTATAGCCTGGGGAGCTCTGAGCTGCCACGTAAGCGGTCCAGCTACCCTGCTGGCCAGGCCACTTGGGGCGGCCACATGGAGGAGAGGCCAGAGGACCTGCAGAGAGAGGCCCAGCCACCCCAATGTCTCGGCCAACCTGCTGACCGCACGGGCAACACCAGCGAGAGCACAGGAACAGCTCGACTGAGCCCGGCCCAGGCTAAAGACCATTGAGGAAGGGGAAAAAAAAAAAGAGAATTGTTTCAAGCCATTTCGTTTCGGGAGGGTTTGTCACCGACAATCCATAAGCACAACACTGCCTGGTTGTCCACAGATGCGGTTTGTTTGTTTGTTTTTTTTTTTCCTGAACACAAGACAGTCACTCAAATGAAAAGAAAACATGACAAACATTTCCCACCACATCCTTCTCAGTCAACAGGCTGAATGGTAATTGGTCATCTGCTACGAAGAAAACACACCTTCTATCCTAAGTCTCCATGATTCTTTTTTCCCGTGATTTTTTTAACGGCAATGCAAAAGTAGACAGATTGTCGACTTCCGACAGTCTGGGGGCACTGGCTTTAATTATCATTTAGCCAAAAAAAGAGGCCATCAAATGAATTACCCACTGCTGGATAAGCAATGATACCTGAGCCTGTTCTCACTCCCACGGGATGCTGTTACCTTTCCCAAAACGTTTTTCCTCTTACAAGCGCTCCGTCATCCCCCACAAAGAGAAAAACGATTGAGTTTTTAAGATTATAAAAAGGGGAAAAAAATGCCAAGAAGTAGAATTTGAATCACCATCATCTGCCAAATACAGAGCACAATTTAACTGCTTCCTCAATTTAAAATAAAATTCTATAAACCAGAACAGTGTCTACATTGTAGAGATGATTTCTTTGGATGTGAGGAAATGGGTAACTGGTAATCAGGTATTGTTGAGTTAGAATAAAGTGGTCTGTAAATGGTTTTGAATTTTGTCTGTCCAAAGGTAGTCGGCCACGACACAAGCCTTCCAAGTTCAAATTCATTCTTTGCAAAAACTTTCTTGCATCTGTTCTTGATGTTTTTAGGGAGAGGGTGAAAGTCCACATCTGGGGAAGAAATAAGTGAGAATTTTTAAGGAGCATGCATCTAAAAGTCTCTCAAGGCATTAAACCATTTTAAAGTAGATTTAAAGCTTTTAAGTGTACTACCCATTAAAATGGAAGTTTCAACATGCAATATGGAAACTGAGCTGCCAACACACATCACACACCTGGGTCGCCATCTACAAAGGTGACCGGCAGGAAAGAGACAGACAAGGGAGATCAGTTACCAGTGGCAGAGCTGGAAGGGATGTGGAGGTGAGCGGGGCGGGGGCCCGGGGAGGCCAGCGCCCTGTGTCGCACAGCCAATTGGGGGCCAAGGGGGGATGAGAACCCGGGCGTCCTGACTCCAACCATCCGGAGCTGTGTGCCCCCCCCCCCCCCCACCAATTCCCGGGCCCCCACAGATCATCTCCGGGCACAGCTCGGGTAAACCAACTCTAATACAAGTGCAAACAATGGGACACCTGATCACCAACAGCAACCATCCCTGAGTACTGAGTGCCAGCTCTGCTCCTCACAGAATTAACTCTGCATTTGGCTTCAATCCTTAATGAACTCTAAAATAAATCCAGCTGAGAGAAAAGAAGTTTAGGAAGAGAAAAAAGAGGCTGGTTTGTAAAACTCAACGATGGTACATTTTGCTAGAACACTCACAAATTAGCCGCCTGCTTAAAAATGCCACAAGGATAGAAACAATTGGGGAGCACTTCCATTTAAATACCTATTTCTGGGGTGCCTGGGTGGCTCAGTCAGTTAGGTATCCGACTTCAGGTTAGGTCATGATCTTGCAGTTGGTGGGATCGAGCCCCGCGTCGGATTCTGTGTCTCCCTCTCCCTCTGCCCCTCCCCCACTCATGTCTGTCTCTCTCTCCCTCTCTCAAAAATAAATAAACATTAAAAAATTTTAAATACCGATTTCTGTACTGAAGTCTTGATGGGTCTTCTCATCTGAAACTTTTCTGCTGCTGCATCAGACCTACGTTTTCATAGACTCTAGCATTATCTTCTCTCATTCTGTAAAGAAAAAAAAAGCATCAATAAAAAGGCAGACCATGCCCTCCAAGCTTACGTGGCATTTACAAAGCACATCACATACCACATTCTTTGGGGACCAGGTATGGTGAAGACACAGCCCCCAGGAGCTAACATTCTAAGACGGGCTGTAAGCCATAAACATACAGCAACATCAAGCTAGAAGTGAAATAAGAGCCTTGAGTCCCTGTGCTCTCTGGGGCTGGAGGAAAACAAGCCGTCTTCCCTGAGGGCAGAGCAAAGGAGGCTTGTATGATGATGAGGCCTTTAAGTAAGACCTTGAAGCACGGAGACGTGTGCACATAGAAAGGACAGGTATTAAATTCAAGCAGAGGGATCTCTTGGGCAAGAGACCCAAGAAAGGCAGGAGCAGTGTGGTAGGGACTATCCTTCCATTTAGCCCGGATCCAGCTACGAGATGGGGAACAGTAAGGGTGAGGCTCAGTGGTGGTTTTGGGACCTGGGATGAAGGGCCAGCACATCAGAGGCCAGACTCCATCCTGCTGAGCAGGGAATGGAAATCAGAGCAGTCCAAGGGGATGGGGGACCCAGTCACTGTGGGTGTCAGCCTGGGCAGGACAAGACGAAATGAGCAGAAGGGGCCCAGGGCCCGGGGTATTCTGGGTCTGCACCCTACAAGGAATACGATGGGAACAGAGAGGCAGAGGACCTGTTGCACAGGAAGGCCAGTGGTAAAGGGATCGTCAGAATTAACGTGTTCTGCCATTACTCAGGGAAAGCTTTCGGGCAAGGACAGAGCCCTGATGTGCCAGTGCTGCTGCAAATGACTGCAGGTAGCAATTTAAAATATCAGCCTTCCCCATCAGTCCACTGGGGAAGGAAAAAGCAGGCAGAAGGAAGGGGCGACTTGGTGGAGAGAATGCTTTCGCTGTATAATTTCATTTCGATGTTAACTACAAGCCAAATGTAAATACAAGCCTCATATTTGCTATCTAAAACGTTTATACAGAGTATTAAAGTCAGCAGGGGTTTAAAAATCCACATCAGAAGCAAACAGAGAGAAGACTCTTGGGGGAAAATAAAAAGTAAATGTTATACCAGAGACCGACTTCAGAATATACAGAAGAACAATAACTTACAACTGCTGTTCACATAATCGATTTAACAAATGTTTTCCTAACACGTTTTTAGCTTAAACAAGGGGTGGGCACAGTTTTTCTGTAAAGGATCTGAGGGTAAACAATTTCATTTCTGCAGGCCATACTCAGTCTTGGGCATATGATAGTCTTTGCAACGCCTTTTTGTTGTTGTTTTTTAATATAACCTTTTAAAAACCATTCATGAGCTGTGCAAACACAGGCCATGGGCAGAATTTGGCCTGGGGGTTGTAGTTTGCGGACTCCTGGTTTAAAAGCCCAAAGTAGATTTCTGTTGTCTGCTGACTGTGGAAAATTAGCAGAACATGGCAGCACTGAAACATTAATAGTTTATTCACTTTTACTTAGCAAAGAGTCTCAACGCATCAAAAGGGGCGTTACTTACCTTTGCTGTCGATCATTAACAACAGGTGTTATCTCCACCCCGTCAAAAGAAAGATTCAATGTTCTTAGAGAACACCACCTGCTACACTTACAGCTTCAAATAGTCATAGGCAGTGTACCAATCAGCTTGCAGTTTAGGTAAATTAAAATTTTGTTTAGAAAGCTGATACACTCGCGAATCGGTTGGGCAACAACAATGTGCACCCATGACAAGCATGTGCTGCAGAGACCTGTTGTTTTTTAAGCTTTTCTGCAGGACTGTATTCAGGCAGAAAGGATTTCCTTCATTCCTACTTACTCTGCGCAGGATGGTGTTGGAGTACAAGGCGGGAGGGGACTCTGATCTCCACTTGTCTGGTCCGTGAGAGAATACTTAATATTTGTATATTCGTGCCCTTTCCTCTTGCTTTTCTGAAAGGTGAAGATTGCATAAGTGAGGAACTGGAATGTTTTAAAGGAATAAAGAAGCAAAGGTGGCATTTCACCAGACAGATGGGCAGACAGGCGGAACCCTGCATACTGGTAGGCTGACCAAATGTTAGGGAATTCACCTCCCCGGTGTAAATGCACCATACAAGTGAAAAATACTTTTGAACCTTACAATTCAAAAGCACAGAGTCATGCATTAACAACTCACACTACCAAAACCAACTGTATCTATTTCTGAGCTAAGAGAGAATTCACACTTTCTTTGCCACCTTAACATCTAATCATTTCATAGTTCGCTTGCAACATTTTTAATGATTCTCAGAGAAACAGTCGGCAAAAGAGCTCTAGAAATAAATTCACTACAGGTAAAAATGGCACACAGGTACAAAAGGCAGTAGCTCTCTTAATAGAAACAATCACACGCCTTATCGTACCTTTCCTGCCTCCCACCCCCACCCAGGGAAAGACCCTGGCGCTTTAAAACTTTATTTTGGGTTCCAATGATACTCTTGGGAAAAAAAAAAAAATTGGCAAAGAAAACCAGTAAAATATAATCTCATCTCAGACGCAGAGCGAACTATATTTGGTAGGAGTCCCAGTTAGATGATTTATCACTCTTCGTTCCTAAATTCACCTAGAAACAACCGATTCTGAAAATCTAACTCACCAAGTTGTCATCATTATATAATGTTGCCTTCGTTCGAGGATTATTCAAGAAAACCAGCAAATATCAGAAAGGGTACCCACATCAAATAGTGACGTACAGCAGTGACTTTCATTTGCTGCCAGTGAGAGGGTAAACTGGGGCACAATTAATCAGAACTGGAAGTACTAATCAGTATCTAGTAATAATAAGAATACATCCCTACAAGGCCGCCTGGGTGGCTCAGTTGGTTAAGCGTCCAACTCTTGGTTTCAGGCCAAGTCATGATCTCACAGTTTCGTGAGTTCGAGCCCCACGTCAGGCTCTGCGCACTCACAGAGCCTGCTTGGGATTCTCCATCTCCCTCTCTCTCTCTCTGCTCCTCCCCTGCTCACACTCTCTCTGTCAATAAATAAACAAACAAACAAACTATATCCTACAATCTTGAACATCTGCTTCTTGGGAAACCCATACACATAAGCCTAAAAGAGCTATACAAGGATGTCCAGTGACATGTTATTCTTAATAATGTCTACAACAAGAGAACGAATCAACGTGATATACTCATACCATGAAATAATATGCAACAGTGAAGAGGCACAACAGAAAGAAAGACTGTGTGTGTGTGTGTGTGTGTGTGTGTGTGTGTGTGTGTGTGTCAAAACAGGCTTCATAATCAATGGTAACTGGAAAAACACAAATTATAGAAAAATGAAACAGTATGATCCTATGTGATTAAACATTCTAAATATATGAAACAGTGTTATCTATTGTGTATAGACTATTGGTATTTGTATCGTAAAATATAAAAAAAGACTACAAGCCCAGCAATTGCCCTGGGGTTCCGAGGCGTGCACTTGGGGCTGACAGCTGTACCTGCCGCATTTGATTGCTGTTATAAAAGAAAAAACAAAACAAAACTTGGAAGAAATAGGATAAAGCAAAACGGATGATTATAGATATACTACTATTATTTAAAATTTTTGAATAAAACATAAAACAAGTTTAAATCCACTGGTGAAGTGTCTTCTTGCTCTCCTGACTCAGAACTTACCCCCAAACAACAGCTAATAAAAAGTAGAAAATCTTATTTGACATACAAGAATTGTTACAACTCCAACCTATAGAGTATAAAGCATCTCATCCCGTGTGAACTTGGGACCAACGTACAAACGAAGCTGGACAGCCTGAAAGATTCACTGACTCTTCACAGAAAAGGCTTGACGTTGGCAGGAAGCTGGCTGCTTGCTGGCCACCACTTCCTCGTGCTGTCTGCAACCGTGTGCAAAAGGAAACGTCCTAAAGGGCAATAGGGTGACAGGATGCAAAGTGCCCGGGCCCTCGGATGACCTCGGATGACCTTGGACGAGCAGAGTTGCCCACTTCCTCCCCAGCTGCCTGCCAACTCGGATTTTTACGTTAGAAGAGAAATCAGCTTCTATCTTATTTAAGCCACTATTACTCAGCCTGTTGAAGCAGCCCAACCAATTTATTAACTGATCAAGCAGCCATTACACATCTTAGTATCTAGGGAAGAAGTTGCAAAGAAGATATCCAAACAGAAAATTTCTCTACATAGTATTTTAATGCTTTGAACAAATGTTTTTAAAAATCTAAAGGCTGGGGCACCTGGGTGCCTCAGCCGGTTGAGAGTCCGACTTTGGCTCAGGTCATGATCTCATGGCTGGTGAGTTCAAGTCCCACACTGGGCTCGCAGAGGTCAGCACAGAGCCCTGCATCAGTTCCTCTGTCCTCCTCTCTCTCTGCCCCTCCCCACCTAGCACTCTCTCTCTCTCAAAAATAAACCTTTAAAAAAAAAATCTAAAGGCCTTGAAAAGCAGTCACAGATTTTCAGCACTGCAATAATGACTTACACAAGAAACAATCTTTTAAAAGATATAATTTAAAATAAAATATTAAGTGGAAGACTTGACAGAGAACGGCTCTTATTTTAAAACTTATTCTGGGGGCACCTGGGTAGCTCAGTCGGTTGAGTGTCTGACTCCTGGTTTCAGTTTAGGTCATGACCTCATTCGGCTCAGGTCATGAGTTCAAGTCCCACATTGGGCTCCACACTGACAGTGAGGGGCCTGCTTGGGATTCTCTCTCTCCCTCTCTCTCTGCTCCTCCCTGACTTGTGCTCTGTCTTTCAAAATAAACAAATAAAAAATTTAAATATGCAATCAATAACCTGAAGCATAAGCTTGCTTTCTACTCAACACATTTTTTTTTTAATTGTGGTAAACGAAAAACAACATATGATAAGATACATGCTCTTGGGCAAAATTTTGAGTGTACGCAGTACTGTCCAGTATATGTTGTTTTTTTTTTTTTAATGTTTTTATTTATCTTTTTGAGACAGAGTCAGAGCATGAGCGGGGGAGGGACAGAGAGCGAGGGAGACACAGAATCGAAGCAGGCTCCAGGCTCTGAGCTGTCAGCACAGAGCCCAACACCGGGTTTGAACTCATGAACCAATAAGATCATGACCTGAGCCGAAGTCGGACACTCAACTGACTGAGCCCCCCAGGCACCCTGAGAATACGCTCTTGATGTGCAGCAGGTCTCTAGAACTTTTTCATCTTATATGACTGAAACTATCTACCCACTGAACAGCAACCCCCATTTCTGCCTCCCTTCTACTATCTTTTTTTCATGTTTTATTTATTTATTTTGAGAGAGAGAGAGAGAGAGAGAATGAGAATGAGAATGAGAATCCCAAGCAGGCTCTGTGCTGTCAGTGCAGAGCCCGACTCAGGGCTCAATCTCATGAACCGTGGGATCATGACCTGAACTGAAATCAAGAGTAGGGCGCTTAACCAACTGAGCCACCCAGGCGCCCCTCTCTACTACTTTCTTGAAAAAAAAAAAAAAAAAATCAGTATTTCTACATAAAGTGATTACAAAAGAATTTTCTAACAGGGAATAATTAATAGAAATGGGACAGGAATTATTTCAATGAATTAAGTGGCTCAAGGAAAAGCATAAAAATGTTGGAGCTTCTCAGGCTTATTTAGAAAGAACAAGAAATAAAACTGATCCATAAATCAGTTGAGTTTATTTCTTAGTACTGTGACGGCCCAGGCTGTCCTTATAGAACAAGAAAAATTCTCAAGGGCTTGGGGTAGTTTTGGTTTTGGGGGGTTGGAGAGAGACTTGTTTCAGAGCCTTAAAAGACGATCTGAAATTGATCTATCCTTCACCTAAATTCAATGACACAGCATAGTTATACCAAACCTTCTGTAATATTTATAATAAATCTTATAGCCAGCTGACACACAGTCAAGGTTGAGAGGAGGGTTCAACCACAAGTCTCTAAAATCATCTGGCATTAAATATCTTGCCATATGAAGTAAATCCAGTGAATTCTTTAACTTTAAGTTACAAAAAAGCCCCGGGCTCCTGGCTAGCTCTTGGTATCAGGGTCGTGAGTTTGAGCCCCACAGTGGGCATAAAAAAAAAAAACAAAGAAAAGAAAATTAAAGGGGCACCTGAGTGGCTCAGTCGGTTAAGCATCCGATGTCAGCTCAGGTCATAATCTCACGGTTAGTGAGTTTGGGCCCCACATCAGGCTCTGTGCTATCAGCTCGGAGCCCACTTTGGATCCTCTGTCTCCCTCTCTCTCTCTCTCTGCCCCTCCCCCACTTGCTCTCTCTCAAAAATAAACATTAAAAAATATTTTTTTAATTAAGAAAAAAAATTAAGACTATGAAATAAAGCATATATCAATTTACCCAAAAAAAGCCCAAAAGCCAGGAGTAGGAAGAAAGGGTCAAATGAAAATGCTCTTGTCTAAGTTACAGAGCAACAAGATACTTGTGCAGAATGTTCTGAGCTCAAATGTCAGGATTACAAACACCTTGACTCCTGCCCACATCTCATCACAAAATCTTACCGGTTCTGCTTCTCTTTGTGCTGACCATTAGCCCCCACTGTCCTGTCCAAACCGTCATCAGCTCTCACCTACACTGGTCCCCCCTGAAACTGCTTGAGCCCAGAGCCCACAGCCCACACCCACTCCTCACTCTCAAGCCAGGGCCCTATTTTCAAAACGAGGACCTTTTTATGTCACTCCCCTGCTTCAAAATCCTCGGTGACGTCCCATTCCCCTCGGGATGAAGTCTAAAATCTTTAATATGCCCTGCAAGCCCCAAGCTCTCAAAATCAGATCTCTGCTTACGTTCCCAATCCCACCCATGACACCCCCGGCCCCCACCCAACTCCCTCTACTCCAACCACACAGCTTTCTTTCCATTTCAGGAACATGACCACTCATAGCCCCAATGTCCAGCACAGAGCCCGGCATGCGGCACAGCCTATTTTAATGGATGCAGGAATGAATGAACGAAGGTGAGAAGGCCTCTTGATTGCACCAAGGAGCTTGAGGAAGATGTGTGAAAAGCACAAGTCCAGGAAAATGAATAAAAAAGACAGGACAAATGTAGACAAGGGCGTCATGGTAACTCAAACTTTCCATCTGGTGAAACTGGAGTTTTATTGAGGCAACAGCCACGTCTATCTTGTTCTGTTATATCCTCAGCATCTAATCAGTGTCTGGAACACAAAAGGCACCCAAATATTTCTTAAAGGAGTAATACCCAACGAAACATTTAATGAAAGAGAAGGCGCCGGATGCTAACTGCCAGCACCGGCCAGCTTCAGTTTTGCTGGCGACAACCAAAATCTAGCACTGCTGCATTTCTATCCTGGCCCATTGGTGATGGCAGAATTCTTTTTTTTTTTAATGCTTATTTATTTATTTTTTGAGAGAGAGAGCGTATGAGCAGGTGAGGGACAGAGACAGAAGGAGAGAGAGTCCCAAGCAGGATCCACGCCCCGCGCAGAGCCAGAGGTGGGGCTCAATCTCGTGACCGTGAGATGAAATCAAGAGTCGGACGCTTAACTGACTAAACCGCCCAGGCGCCCCTGATTACAGAACTCTTAAAGGTATCTTCTGTCCTGTAGTACGATGCACTCAGAGAACGCCACCCAGAGTCTCTACGGTGCAGTTAAAGGATGCTCGATGCGGGATGTGGAATTATTTCCTTCAAACAAGAGTTGCCCACATGGTAAATTTGATTCTCATGGGGGTACAGGCAAGCAGCTCTGAAACTATTTCGCATGTATACTAGGGGTGAGCAAATGAGCAAATAAATTGTAGATCATGGGAACCAGGTTTCCCCCAGTTAGAGAAGTTACAAATTAGGAAGGGGAAGGCTAGTCTGAGCCTTGGGGTACTGAATGAGAGCCAGAGACATCAACATGCACTGAGGTTTAGCTTATATATATATATATATATATATATATATATATATATATACACACACACACACACACACACACATAGATACAGTGACGATTATTGGTATTTATGCATATGTGCATTAGTATACAGACGTTATTTCCTAGCACTGTCCACTGAGAGGGCCCAGAAGCAGTAATACCCAGTAGCAACAAGCATACCCAACACCCAAACCTTCATTTTATTTTTGTTTTTATTAAAAATTTTATTTTTAAATAAATTCTCTTTTTTGTTTAACATTTATTATTTTTGAGAGACAGAGTGTGAGCAGGGGAGGGGCAGAGAGTGAGGGAGACACAGAATCCGAAGCAGGCTCCAGGCTCTGAGCTGTCAGCACAGAGCCCGATGTGGGGCTCAAACCCACGAACTGTGAGATCATGACCTGGGCTGAAGTCGGACGCCCAACCGACTGAGCCCAACTGACTGAGCCAAAATTTTATTTTCAAATAAGCTCTAACTCACAACCCTTGAGATCGAGAGTCGCATGCTCTACCGACTGAGCCAGCCAGGTGCCCCCCCCAAACCTTCAATTTTAAATACCTGTTTAAGTAATAAACAGAACTGGGGCTCCATAGAAAAATGGCCAATTCAAAGGCTAGGAGAGGGGAAACAGAAGATGAGCCCGGAGCATCTTGCAGGCCATAAAGTGAGCAAGTGCTCAAACACAAAAGGATAGGGACACGTGAAAGGGACACAGGAGCCAATCTGAAAACGTGCCTCACTCGCACCTTCCCCTGGACGACCACCTGTTTTTTGCTTCTCCTCCTCCTAATGCTGTCGCTACTTCCTGCTTCCTTCCCCAGCCCGCCGGTCCCTGACCTACTGTCTTTCTTCATTTACCCTTGTCAGCAAATTCCTTCATTCCCAAAGGTCCTTAACTCTTCAGAATTTTGAAAATGATGGCATTTAAAAGAATAATCAATGATCCCGAATGAGTTTCATCCTTCTGCTCAATTTAAAACTCAGATGGCTTTACTGTTTAAGTCTACCACTTAAGCTTTCTACTAGATGAAGGTACTTCTTACTTTACCACGAAATCAGGTAGTAAGTTCGAGCACAGAATCAAACAGTACAATGCACAAAACCACATGTTATAGGATCTCATTTTTAGGGGCGCCTAGGTGGCTCAGTCGGCTAGGTGGCCGACTTCAGCTCGGGTCGAGATCTCGCAGTTCATGAGTTTGAACCTGCTTAGGATTCTGTGTCTCCTCACTCTCTGCCCCTTCCCCGCTCATGCTCTGTATCTGTCTCAAAAATGAACATTAAAATTTTTTTAATGAATCATCTGGGGGCACCCACGTGGCTCAGTTGGTTAAGAGTTCAACTTTGGCTCAGGTCGCGATCTCACAGTTCGTAAGTTCAAGCCCCATATCGAGCTCACTGCTCTCAGTGCAGAGCCTTCTTTGGATCCTCTGGCCCCCTCTCTATCTGTCCCTCCCCCACTCTCACTCTCTAAAAAATAAATTCTAAAAAATTTATCAGCCTGACAGCTCGGAGCCCGGAACCTGCTTCAGAGTCTGTCTCCCTCTTTCTCTGCCCCTCCCCACCTTGCGCGCTCGCTCTCTCTCTCTCTCTCTCTCTCTCTCTCTCAAAAAACAATAAATATTTTTTTAAAAACTTTTAAAAAAATCTCTAAAAATGAATACTCTAAGACACCTAAAGTGGCTCAGTCAGTTAAGCGGCCGACTCTTGATTTCGGCTCAGGTCATGATCTCATTCGTGAGACTGAGCCCAGAGGCAGGCTCTGTGCTGACAGTGCGGAGCCTGGAGGCTGCTTAGGATTCTCTCTCTCCACTCTCCCTGCCCCTCCCCCACTTGCACGTGCACTGTCTCTCAAAATAAATACACATACAAAATTAAAAGTAAAAAAATAAGTAATAATGAATAATCTAAGTCAACACATTTTTTAGACTCTGAAGCCTCTTAGACCAAATAGCAGTTAACGTGCTGAGGACAGTGCTGGCACCTGTCAGTCCCAAAAAATACAGGCTGAATGAATGCATGCATGCAAGCACTCTTGGGGTGGGATCATCAGGGACATTCGGTTTCTAGAGTCTATAATACTTCAATTATTACGGAACATTTTTGTCTACTGCCTCCTGACCCCCCAAAAAAGGGCAGCAATAAAAGTATTTTTAAAGAGGCTCCTAAATCCAAATTGCAACTCGAGATTCAGGGTCAGAGAGACTGGATGTGGTAAGGAGAAGATCTGAAGTGCTATAGAGGCTGGGAGAGGAAGTGCCTGAAGTCTCCAGAACAAGGATAAATACCAAACCTTCTGAATGAAATAAAGAGAGCTCCTTCCCCAGCTTTTCCACACAAGATTACATTATATGCTTCAAGACATTCCTGACTATTCTCCAATTTGTACCAACTGTGCTACATTCTCTTTGTATTTAGTACGAGATTCTTCTCTGTGAGCAACTTTATGCTTTAACTATTCCTGGCCCAGATTAAGGATAACTGGAAGACAAAGAGAAAATAGCCTATAGTAACCATCTACATTTTTCATAACACCAAGTCAGATTTAACACACTAAAGGTCGAAACCAGTTACCTGTTGATTATTTGACCTTGCATTTCAATACCTACACTGTTTCTGAAGATGTTTTTTTGTACAGTGAAACAATCCAGTGTCTTCACGTGAACTGAGAACGTCCTAGGCTAACTAAGAGGTATCTTACTTGGCTAACCAGGCTCTGATAACGCGGCTACAAGTCTTTCGATTCGCTGGCAGGTGCCATTTTGCAAAGCCGAGCGCTCTGGAAGGCAATGAACAGGGTAAAGCAGGCCTGTCTGCAGCGGAGCAGTGGGGCTGGTGAGGGGAGGGGAGAAGCACAGATCCCCAAAAGAGCAGTCTCATTTCCCTCCTCTTAGCGGATTTCTAATTAACTCAGCTTTGTGTCTGTTATGAATAGCTTCGCATGGAGAGGCTCCAGTTCCACATTCTTCTTCATTCTGCATGGCTTATTAAAATTGAAACCTCACTGTTTCCAACTCAACCAAATTGATGGTTCAGAGTGAAGCATTTCGTTTAAAAGATGGGATCAGGGTAAAGACGGCCCGGATCAAAACTGGAACAGGCTGGAGACTTCGAGGCCTTCGGTTCCAAACCCGCCATGTGAAAATCCTGGGATTTGCCTAGGAAAGTCCTAACCTTTCCACGTGGCCGCTGCCCAGTCAGCCAGGCCAGGACGATGGCAGGGCGCCCATCCCCACGGTACCCTGTCCTGAGAAGTCAGAGTTGTGAAGTAGGGAATGGTTTGAGAGAGGCCCTTCCTGGCCGGGAACAAGGTTCCCATTCCCAAACAGTGACAGTTGACTCTCAGGGGCCCACCCCGCTCCAAAGGAGAGCATAGGAGAGCTGCCCAGAGGAAGAAGACGGAAATCTGCCCGCCAGGCCCTCTGGGTCGCATACCTGCTCTTCTTCAATCCTGCGCTGTAGTGTTTCAATGTAATGCTGAACGGCCATGTAGATGAAGCGGTACTGAGCTTCCGTCTGGACCATCCCTGACCTCTGAGACCGCACCATCTGAATGGTCTTGGGAACATCGATGTCGCAGTCGACACCTGCAAAGCAAACACCATGAAGCACCGGGACAAACTGCAGGGCCCGGATGAAGACGCACAACTTTTGGCAGACGCAGAGATAAAGCAAATGTTCCCACTGGACGTGTTCCGAGGGCTACACTGGCCTTCTGGGCGATACAAATGATCCCAGAAGATTAGCTGAGAAGGTGTTGGAGGTCAGGAACCCCCCACTTTCCAAACGGCACCACCCCCACAACATCCGCCAGGACGAGGGGCGTGGGCAAAGACCACCGCTGCATATTCAGCAAAAGACCACAGCACTAGGACCCACAGCTCCAAGGCTCCGTTTTATGTCGAGAGTCAAACAGAATCATGTTTGTTCCCTCGCAAACACACTGGAAGTCAAAGTCCTCAGCCTAGATTTTGTGAAAATGTTTTAACATTCGGATTCCCCCCTAGGCTATTTTCACCAGCATTTTCCTTCCATAAACTAAAACTAAAAACAGGAACTATAGCTTCTTGCCCTCCAGATGACCTACCTTTCTCTCTGATGATGTCAATAAGGATATCAATCACAATGAACGTCCCTGTCCGGCCAATTCCAGCACTGTGGGTAGAAGGACAAAGCAATGACAATGGAGTCATTCATGGGGGTTTCAGACTCAAAATCAAGCTAGTAATATTAACAGAAATGATGTCTGCTCTTGGGAGTATTTATAAGATTGTCTATTTGTATTTGAGAATAGATTAGCTAAGAGGGCTTGGGAATTAGTCCAACCTATACTTGGAGCCCGGCTTCTCCTGTACAACGTGCCTGAGGCAAGTCCCATACACTCTGGACCCTCAGTTTCCTCATCTGTGAAATGGGGATGATAGTATATGCCTTACAGGCTTGTAATGTGCATCAAACATTAGTAATGTATGGAAAACACACAGCACAGAGGCCGGCACACAGCAAGTGCTCAAAAAACAGTAGCTTTTTGTGTTTTAATTTTTTACTGTTTCCTTGTTTTTCAGAGAAAGAGAGAGAGACAGAGCGTGAGCAGGGAAGGGGGCAAAAAGAGAGACAGAGACACAGAATCTGAAGCAGGCTCCAGGCTCTGAGCTGTCAACAGACAGCCCGACGCTTGGCTCGAACTCACAAACCATGAGATCATGACCTGAGCCGAAGTTGGACGCTTAACCGACTGAGCCGCCCAGGCGCCCCAACAGCTTTTTAAAAAGGGAATTAAGTTTCACATGCAGCTACTTGTCCAACACATGGATGAGATCTGGGAAACTAAACTTGCCCCAGCAAAACCATGAAGCCCAGATGTGGGCACTAGAGGCTGTAAACTGTGGTGAGAGGCCATGGGCGTGGCCTTCGGAGGCCTGTGTGGGGAGTGGTCCAAAACCTTGAAAGTAAACAAGTATATTATCGGGAAAACATGCACCTTATTTCTGTGGCAGAAGAGAATACATTAAAGTGATGAATCCTAAGTCACTATATTAAAAAAGGAAACTGGGGGCACCTGGCTGGCTCAGTCGGTTGGGCATCCGATTCTTGATTTCGGCTCAGGTCATGATCTCATGGTTTGTGGGTTCGAGCCCCATGACATGGCTGTCAGCACAGAGCCTGCTTGGGATTCTCTCTCTCTCTCTCTCTCTCTCTCTCTCTCTCTCTCTCTCCCTCTCCCCTGTGCATACTCTCTCTCTCTCTCTCTCTCAAAATAAACATTAAAAAATATTTTTAATAAACAGAAATAAATAAAATGGAAAAACAAGCAAACATTACGAGACTACATAAGGGCTCCCTGAGGATAAGGATGATGCTCCCCCCTCTGCCCTGCTACCACCAATACCTGGCAGTCCCACAGGACCTAGGAGAAATTCACTCTCGGGGCAAAGTGTCCCTCCATGCAGTTTATGCATGCCTCGAACAGAGATTAAATTTTTCTCACAGGTAAAGAGCTGGGGGTGGGTAGGTAAAAACAAGCCCTGGGCATTAAGAGACAGGCCAGGCTGCAGCCTGGAGAGGTGGCAGGGGCCAGTCACCTGCAGTGAACTACCACAGGCCCCGCGTCCATAATGCTCTCTTGCTTATGGTGGACCTCCTCCAGGAAGTCCAGCACGCCCCCGGGGTCACTGGGCACTCCGTGGTCCGGCCAGGTCCGAAAGTGGTATTGCCACACGGTTCTCTCTGTATTCCCCTGGAGTAGAGCCAAGAAAAACCAGAAAAGAATTAAATAAATCAAGGGGTTGAGGAATCGCCCCGTCCTGATCTTTCCCAGAGCCGATGTGAGCCAACTGCTCCATTTAAAGGTCATCTTTGCAAGTTTCCCAGATCATTCCTCCTTTTGGATCTGGCTGAGCAGCCCTGGAGGCAAGTCTCTGCTTCTGACATAAACCAAAATGTCCAGTATAGCAACGCGTTCCTCAGGAAGCTACAACCTGCATCACCTCTCTGAATCCTCAGCGGCAGGCAATGCCTCCTTCCCTCCTCATCCACGCGTAGCTCAACTCCAGAGGCAACTGAGGCCCCTGGGTCCTGGGGCTCTCTTCCCAGCAGATGAGAAAACAGCTATCCCCTCAAGACACATTTGCCTCTTTCTCTTTTTATACCCAGCCCTCCTTCCCTCCCCCAAAACATCCACTTTTATTATAGTATCACGGTATTTTAAGTTTCTGTGTAGTGCAAAGTAGGTAAAAAGACAGGCTTTGCAATCAGAAGGCTGGGTTTTAGGCCCAAATCCCAGCATTCATTATCACTGTGGTCTCCAGACATCTCTAAGCATCAATTTCTTCACTTGCAAATGGGAATAATAAGCTCTCTCCCAATAACTACCGTGAGGATTGAACAAGACCGATAAACACACAGCCACTACTTGGCAGCAGCAAAAGACTCAGCCACTGATGCTCGTCTAAGGGGAGGGGCCGTTAATAAAGGTCAAGACTACAGACGACCGGCTGCCTGGGGGGCTCGGTTGGTTAAGCGTCCGACTCTTGATTTCAGCTCAGGTCATGATCTTACGATTCGGGAGCCCAAGCCCCACATCGGGCTCTGCACCAGAGCCTGCTTGAGATTCTCGCTCTTCCTCTCCCCCTCTCTCAAAACAAATAAACATTAAAAAAAAAAAAAAAAAAAAAGAGTACAGAAGACCAAAAGTACCGCGTTCCGGATCTACCCAGATGAGGCCATTGTAGCAGCTCTGTTCACTGCTGCATGTTCGCACTACAGATCTGAAGGCAACCCAAGCTACTGACATTTTAAAGGAGATTTTGAAAAGAGAGAGTAACTAAGCCAGGGTCCACCACCAGTGACTTTCAAGACATCCAAGGAATAGGAACCAGAACTAAGAGCTTTTCTTGAAGTACGTGCATTTAATTTACCGATGCCATGATAAAAATTTTTCTTAATGTTACCAGTTGCTAAGGCTCAGGGGCCACATGGGTCACAGAACAGTCAGGGAATGAGACCCAGCTGCCCTGCACATCCATGCTTCTCCTCCTTGGTAACCTCTGTCCCAAGAGATCTCCGCCAGGCAGTTAGGAGTTTAAATGAGATCGTGTCATAGCACTTTAAAGAAAAAATGTAACGTGTTATATAAAAAGCAGGTAACACATGACCAGCAATTCTGGAGAAATAGTCTGTCCCGTGTCAGCACCTGAATCCACGGGTATAAAATACAAATCCAAATGCCAAACTTTCCTGTACCTGTTGTTCAAAAATCTCTGTTAACAAGAATATGGATGGTTTATTACTAAAACTGAAGAAAAATCCACCTGCTACTCAGAAACGCCTGATAACAGAAAGATGGGCGGTTAGCTCTAAAACTGAACACACCTACGTGGAATCTCTGGCTAGCGTCCCCTAAATCTCTTTCATTTCTGTTGCTTCTGCTGTGCTTTTCCAGCTTCTCTCTCCATCTCTGCAGCGGAGTAAACCTCCCCCCACCCCACCAGCAGCAGAACCACACCCCCACTGACATCAGAAGTTCCAGCAACTGGCCGGGCTTCCAGTTCGCTTTGGTCCCCTGACCACCTCGTGGAACTCCTCGTCTGCTCTCCACCCGCCTCCCCCTGCCCCCTCGTTGGGCTTGGGCGCCACATACTATGCTGACAATCCCCTCCACTGCATCCCTCCCCTCCCTCCACCCTCACTCCATCCACTCCATCCCCGGGGAAAGCCCCAAGCCTGGGCAAAACCAACCACCCACCTTCTCCGTTTTGTACCGAAGGAACAGGGATTGGTGTCACTAAGTGCTCACGTTCGCCACCTCAACAGGGCGCTCAGCACTGCCCGAAATCGTGCTGGATTCCCCTCATCTCTGCTATTACTACATTACCAGTCAATACTTTTTCCACCTTCCCACATAGCTCGTCTCTGATTCCCAGCTGATGGCCTGGCCTCATAGAGAACACAGAGAAAATCCATTTCAGCCCCTCTACCCGCATCTGTGGCCACCTTCTCCTCTTCCCGTCCTGCTGTCACAGAAGGACGAACCCTCCACCCACCACGATGCTCTGGGTCCCACCTCTCTCCTCGCCCAACCTCCGTTCCTGCCTCCCTGCCATCTTCGCTTTGACGTCTCAAAGGCATCTCACAATTTGTGTGTCCAGAAGGCTGCTGACCCTCCCTCCCCCCTCAAATCCACGGCCACCAACCCCACGCTCTCGCTAGAAAACTGGCGGTCATCCTTAGCGCCGGCCTCGACCCTTGTCCACGCTGTCGCCAAACCCCTTCTACTCAGTTACCTCCAGGAGGTCCCCTGCTGTCCACCGTGCCACCTTTCACCTGGACGATTCAAGCCCTGCCATCCTGCACACCTTCTGCCAGCGTTTCTGGCCTCGTCACAGCACCACCGCCCGCTGCGTTTGGTTCTTCCTCCTCCTCCTCCTCCTCCAACTGCCCAACTGTGCCCCACGTCCCGCAGGCGCCACCTCAAGGCATCCGTCATGTCCGTCAGTCCTCTCCCACGTTTGTCCTGGCATATTACATGCTATTCATTTCCAAAGGCGGGAATAAGAAGCAAAACAAGAAAGACCAACTGCCAGAGTCCCTGGGATCTGACCTAGAGGGGAGGCCGTCAGACCCGGACCACCGCAGCGGCCTCCTAACAGGCGTGCTGGCCACTCGGGCCACCCGGCCTGGCCTCCCCACCCGAGGCTGTCAGACACCTTCCTGGCACGCGGCTCTGTGTGTGCGTTCGCTTGGCGCGATCACCGTCATGGGCTCCGGGCTAACCACCGCATGGAGTTCGCACTTCTTAACATGAGGGTTAAGACTTCCCAACTTGGTCCCGGCCTCTCTCCAGTCTATCCCCTCCATCCCTCACTTGCCTTCACTCCCCATGAATCCCGTTCCCCTTCCATCTGCACTGCAGTGCCAGGGCTCACGGGGACACCTCCCTCTGGGAGCCCTCTCTCCATCGTCTTTTCTGGTGGAAACCTCACTCAGAAAAGCCCCGCCTCTTCTGAGACAGCCTCCCTGACGCCCCGGCTGGAAGGACGCTCAGCCTCTGCAATTCCACGCACTTCGGATTTGTTACAGCCCGCGTCCGCTCTGCAGCGCGGCTATCTGTTCCTGTGGCTTCTCACGGCTACGCGATTTTAATTCCTTGAGGACAAAGGCTTCATTCGCCTCTGTGTCCCCAAAAGGCCTTGAGAAAGTAAGTCCCCTCTCATCATGAAATGAAAATGAATCCAAATCCAACACCGTTTTGTAAAGTTAGTCACTTCAGCAACAAACTTAAACCACGTGCGTGCGGTTAAGATCTGATGCCCTGGAATCTGATCACTGAACAGGCCTCAGGGGCTTTACACTTGCTGCTCCCACACCTGGAATACTCCTCTCCAGACGCTCTAGGTGCCTGGCTCCCCCACCTTCAGCTCAAGTGACACAGCCTCAGAGAGGTTACTCTGATACAGCAATCTCCCTGATTACTCCATCTCTGGTACCCAGTCACTTCTACCGAAATGTCCTGGAGCCCTTGTAGACTGAGCACAATCGGAAAGCTTAGTTGGTTGTTTATTTTTTAACCTTCCGTCTCCTTAGGCCCTGAGGGCAGGAACTGCAGCCGTCTTGTTGCCACTGTACCAGTATGCATCTGGTACACAGAAAGCACCCGACCAGTGAGCGAACGAGAGCATGGATACATGCAAACGTGGGTAACCCCATGACCCTGGATTGGTGCACACCATAACCAGCTACCAAAGTCTCTAAAATACGACAATATACTTACTTGTCCAACCTTCGAAAGTTTAAGTTCTCTTAACGTATAGTCATGAGCGGCGCTTTCTTTGACGTTCCTAACACGCATGACCCCATATTCTTTTAGAGCACACTCGTCAGGCCAGTATTTGACACATTTACTCTGGAAGGGATCAGAAAAAAGAGTTAATCTCTGTGAACTCTGAAGTGAAAAGCCCAAACCAGCGGAAAATAAAATGTTCGAGTCCTGCTTAATAACCAAGCTAAAGAAAATGCCCTGTCTGGCATCTGTTAGAGTTTCAAAGAAACGGAAAAACAAGTTCGAATAAGAAAAAGCAGGTGCTTGGAAAGCCGGGGAGAAAGGGGGAAGAGAAGTCAGCCTTGGCAGAGTCGTCTGATCTAAGATGCATGTGAAAAGAGGGTCAAGGATTGTTTATTTACCTCTAAGGAACCAAAGACGCAGAGTGAGGGCCTAGCCAGTTTGAGGGTTCTGCCTAGCCACCGCTAAATTCTGGATTCCAGGGATCTGCCTGTCACTCCACAGGGGAGCCAAGCAATCACTCTAGAAATGGATGGGCTGCCCAAAGAGCCACACTGTCTGATTCGCTTCCGTACCCACGTAGGAGGACTCCGTGCCTTATCTAACCCAAGTGTGAACAGCTCCAGCACCGAAAGGCAGCGATGCGGTTTTGAACCAGCTGCTTTTTCTATATCCAGATCCATCTGATACCTACTACACACGTCACCTTCGCTTAACTGGGTGCCTGGGAACGCCAAGCCCGTAATAGCTGCTGGCTTCAGAGCAGACAAACCGAAAAACATGGCACCAAGTAAATCATTCTTGTTGCCAAAGAGGAAGATATGTAGCTCAATGAGAGGTCCTGGGCAGAGGATGTTTTTGCGTTTTGGTTTTTTCTGGGAGTGGACTTTCCACAACCACCAAGATACCTATTGAAAAACCAAGAGACATCAGCCAGAGAAATTTAGCTTTCATGCTAGGAAGACAAAGAAATTCGGTTATAAAACTATGAATAAGAGAGCAGCTGCAGGCATCCCCAAAGTCAATGATTAATTGAAAAGGGAGGGCAGGGGGAACATGGCAGAAGGAAGTTGACCAGAAGTATTAACAGACGGTGCAACTTTTTTTGCCTGGCAATGGCTTACATGGTCTTTTATTATTATTCCGAATTCAGCTTTCTCTTCAATATTCTGTAGATCCAAATACCTCTTTGACAGACTTGATACAATTTGTATTATCCTCAAATAAGCACTTTTAATATTAATGGTACTCAGTGCTGTTGCTGGCCAATCAATTCTGTGACTGTTGGCTGCTCAAGAGACTCAACAGAGAACAAAAAATTAAATCATAACTCTGAAAACATTTCAGCTGACTTTGAATTATCAGCAGACTATTGCGGCCCTCCTCCTAGTTTTCCAAACTCTGACACAGACTTTGGCAGACAAATTCTACAATGTGAGAGCTAATGCTTCAGTTTTTAAACTAAAGCCCAGGAATCAAAAGGAATTCAGAATCTGGGTTTTCTCCTGTGCAATGGTGGAAGGGTGGGAGGGACCTGAGAGAGCAGGTTGTGAGAACCACCTGTGGAGAGAATATGTCCATCATCCTCTCCATCTGGGACTAAAAAGCATATTCGGGAAGCAGGTGCAGACGTGGGGGCGGAGGTGAGGAGAGGGGCAGAGTGATTTAGCCCAGTGTCTGTCTATTCTAGGAGTTTTCGGCAGCTCTTCTTGAAAGGGACGTAAACTAATTCCTCTGAAGTGACACAAGAACCCTTTCTTCATGCCCCCTGGTCCCCTGAGAAGAGGTAGCCTCCTATGAAGCGGACTAAAGGCAGGACAGAGGGCTCAGTTTTCCATTCTATACGTAGGGCAGGTAACAGTCACCTGAAGCAGAAACTAGGAAGACGTTTTACCCTGTCCATTAATTCAAGAACATCTCATGTTATGGCACATAGCTGCTGGAGGAAGCCTTTGTTTCACAGGGACCAGATCTAGCCTCAAAGGTTTTCAGAAGTGCTGAAACTAGTTAGCACAATGATGAAAATCTTACAAAATCACACTGCCCTTCAAAACTGATAGGAAAATTACATTAGAGCACTAAGATCCAAATCACCCATCTGTCTTAGGTTTAACTTGCAGATGACTGCTATATTCCATGAAAATTTTATGCAAACCATTTAAAGTGTAACTACAAAAGAACTTTGACTAGAACACAAAAACACAGAACTTTTCCAACTTAAAAACCCACATGGATGGGCTCACTTTGGGATAACGCACAGAGCGGTTACTCAGTGAGATCTGTCTGCTTCTCTGTAGGTGTGGGATGTTACAATTTTTAAAAACCGGAAAGGTCACAAAAAGTGTAGGGAGAGGAGTACTTGGCATAGACAGCTGGGGAGGGGGGGTGTACACGGGGACAAACACTCTGGGGGCAGTTTGGCAGAAGTTATTAGAATTTACAACATGCATACCCTATGACCTAACATTTCTTTTTCTTGACATCTACCCTAGAGAAACATCTGCCACACGCACACATACACAAGCAAGAATAACATTATTCACTTCAGCACTGCTTGTTAAGAGCAAAAACTGAAACACTTAAATGCTCAACACATAATGGTGAAATAAATTACGGTATATCCTTACCATGGAAAATCATGCAATTACCAAAAAGAAAGAGGCCAATATGTACTAACAGTAGATATTCAACCATTCACTTCGGTGGGGCCCAAAATGCACAACAAAATTCATGTATGAAAATACTTTTACATACGGTATTTTTCAGAAATTAGCACTACAGACTTCATTAGGCACCTACAGGTACATAAATACACGCATATACGTAAATGTTGGTATGTTATGTTTACAGTAATGCCTCCCATACACGTATGTATGTAAATGCCAAGAAGACAGCATGGAAGAATACACATTGCACCAGTCACAGGGATTTCAAATGGGTGGCCAAGGGATGGTGACAAAGGCAACTTTAATCATAACGATAATGTGTTTGGATATTTACATAAATATATGCTTGAATAATTCTAAATAATTTACAAAATTTTTTAATGTTTATTTATTTTGAGAGAGAGACAGACAGACAGAGTGTGAGTGGAGGAGGGACAGAGAGAGGAAGACACAGAATCCGAAGCAGGCTCTAGGCTCTGAGCTGTCAGCACAGAGGCCAACGCAGGGCTCGAACTCACAAACCACGAGACCATGACCTGAGCTACAAAGTTGGACACTTAACCAAATGAGTCACCCAGGCACCCCTTCAAATAATTTTTAGATGTCTACAAGTCATGATAAGTATGATTTACATGACCAGTGAAATCACTACTTGTTAGTACTCCAATCCTTTGAAGGTACTAGATGGGGCTTTTCACATTCCCTTCTGGACTCCTGCTCCTGGATACAATACAGTAACAGGGATTGGATTTACCCTTCCACCTCAGACAACTAAAAAACAGGAAAAATGAAAAGACATATATAATAGAATTAGTAAGAAGGACATTAAAACAGTTATTACAAATATACTCCATATGTCCAAAAGGTGTAAGTTAAAAAGAGAGACATAGACGGCATTAAAAACGAAAACAGGGGCACCTAGGTGGCTCAGTCAGTTAAGCGTCCGACTTTGGCTTAGGTCATGATCTCACAGCTCATCAGTTCAAGCCCCACGTCGGGCTCTGTGGGCCCATCCACAGAGCTGGACGGGTCACGTCCAGCTCAGAGCCTGGAACCTGCTTCAGATCCTGTGTCTCCCTCTCTCTCTCTGCCCCTTCCTTGCTCGCACTGTCTCTCTCTCTTTCTCAAAACAAACATTAAATCAAAAACAATCTTGAAACGAAAACAAAAACAAATGGGTGGTGGGCACTAAGGAGAGTACTTGTTAGGACGAGAGCACTGGGTGTTATACGTAAGTGATGAATCATTAAATCCTACTCCTGCAATCATTATTAAACTATATGTTAACTAACTTGGATTCAAATGAAATTTAAAAATTAAAATAATAATGATAATAAGAGATTTTTACATATAAAAAGAACCCAAAACAATAAAACTTACAGAGATGAAAAAGATAATATCTGATGAAAGATGAAAAGAGAACACACCGAATAGTCCTAACAGCAGATGATACACCACAGAAGGAAAAAAAATCAACCTGAGGGCATACAGCAAAACAAACCGTCCAAAATGAAACCGGGTTGGGGGGAGGGGGCAGGTTTCTTGAAACACCATCTGCCAGAAGTCATTCACCGTGTTTTGCAGGGGGTAGACAGCCAAGCAAAATGAGCAAAGTCTCCATGGGCCGCAGGATAACGTCAAGCAACCTAATATACGTGTAACTGGTGTCCCATGTTTGAAGAAATAATACACATTTCCAAATTTGAAGAAATCTATAAAGCCCATAGATCCAAGAAGCTCCATGAACCCCAAGCAGAAGGAACATAAAGAAAACTACACCAGGGGCGCCTGGGTGGCGCAGTCGGTTGAGCGTCCGACTTCAGCCAGGTCACGATCTCGCGGTCCGTGAGTTCGAGCCCCGCGTCAGGCTCTGGGCTGATGGCTCGGAGCCTGGAGCCTGTTTCCGATTCTGTGTCTCCCTCTCTCTCTCTGCCCCTCCCCCGTTCATGCTCTGTCTCTCCCTGTCCCAAAAATAAATAAATGTTGAAAAAAAAAAAAGAAAACTACACCAAAGCCTGTTGTAATCACATTTCTTCTACTCTCTTTCCTCCAGAGGGTCAGAGTAAGCCTAATTTGTTTATTCAATTGTTAACATGGTCAACCTGACATGTCTGATACTTCACAGTTCATCAGAAGAGCGTGGAGTGTACCTTTCCTCTCTCCACTTCTTTCGTCGTCATGACAATCACTCGCGAGTTTTCTTGAAACACCATCCGCCAGAAGTCATTCACCGTGTTTTGCAGGCAGCCTTGTGTGGCAATGTAACTCTTTTTGGGCTTTGAATTGTTGCATTTGGTTTCAAACTCAGGCTAGAAATTTAGGAAGAAATTCCTTTAATCATTGGAAAGTTGCTTTCAGGTCACAAGAAATACAAAACACAAAAGATGGCTAGCAATGCCTGGTCAGAAAACATGGCAGAAAGCAAAGATTACCATGATAATATTTGCATTGATGTAATCTGAAACAGGCTCATTGGGATCACCATCATGGAGGACAACTCTGGTATGATCGACTGGAAGAAAAAGAGACCACAGTCAAAAAGTACTCATTCCTCTTCAGGACATGTCATTTCAAAATAGTTAATCCTCAACCTCGTCCAAGTTTTATTCACTTAATGATAAAAGCACATAAAAAATTAAATCCTAAATGAGCACAACAATGATCCAAACACCACATGATGCCTCATAATGCGGTCTTTAAGAAGAACAAAGTAGCAACAGCAATTCCTTGGTCTTGATTATGTGCTGTGGATATACAGGATATTACCACTGGGAAAAGCTAAAGGGTACGTGGGAGCCCTCCGTATATTTTTATAACTTCTTGTGTCTAAAAATATTTCAAAACAAAAAGTTTTTTTTTAAAACCAAAGCAAGAGTAAGTATAGATAAATGACATGATGTCTGAGATTTGCTTAACATAATATGGGGGGAGAGGAGGAGCGGAGCAGAGTATAAATAAAACAGGACTAGGTATGAGTTGACAACGCTGGGAGCTGGGCAGCGGGTATGTGTGGTTCTTTATACTGTTCTGTCTACTTCTGAATAGGTTTGAAACTTTCCATAATAAAATTGGTGGCTTTTTTTTTTTTTAATGAAGCACACTGAACTACAACATCTAGCAGATAAGATTTTGATAGTGTCAGCTGACCAAATTCTGTACAAAAGTACATTATTGGGGGGTACCTGGGTGGCTCGGTCGGTTAATCGTCTGACTTCGGCTCAGGTCATGATCTCACGGTTCGTGGGTTCGAGCCCCGCTTCGGGCTCTGTGCTGACAGCTCAGAGCCCGGAGCCTGCTTGGGATTCTGTGTCTCCCTCTCTCTCTGCCCCTCCCCTGCTTGTACTCTGTCTCTCTCTCTCAAAAATAAAATAAAAAAATAAATAAAAATAAAAAAGTACCTTAGTGGTATAGAAATCTGAGCACTCTACCTAAGCAACTTATAATGGGAATTAGTGATATAGTTGTATGTCTTACACTCCCCATCTCTAAAGAAATAAGACGTTAATCAAGAGGAAGCATCTGACTGGGACCTTTAAGAGAGGAAAAGGCAACGATACTCTCTTCACATAACTGCAGATGATTGTTCCTGTTGCCTTTTCCTACATCCCTGCATCTCACTAATGAGTTCCATTAGGCCTCCTGAGCAGAAAGGAAAACTTAAGACATAAACAGGATGAGGCTGCCCCAAGGTCATCAGGACCATGCTGTGGCTCAGACTGATTCTCTGCAAATTCCTATTGCCTTTTCTCACTATTATGAATGGCTGCATTTTCTCCCATCCTCATCTACACACATTTCAAATAACCGTTTGGATGTGATGGACATATGTATCATGTATGCGTCCATATGTACACAGAGAGAGCAAGACTATCTCTCTCTCTCTCTCTCTCTCTCTCTCTCTCTCTCACACACACACACACACACATACACACACACACACGACAGATTTACGATACCTGACATAATGGCTTGGACCCAATGAGACATGAGAGCAATGCTCACCAAACTGGCTCATGCATCCCAATAAACTTTGTGAAGTTTCTGAACACCGAAATATATACACATGTATATACAAACATGCCCTATTTTTAAGTTTGGTAAATACATTATGCATGCACTGCCATCAATCTGTATGTCAGATTTAAATTTTTCTTTCTTTCTTTTTTTAGACACAGGGTATAAATCAAGAGAAGTTCTAAATGTTCCTTCCCTTCACCCCAGCGGGCCGCCTTGCACAGCCCGCTCTGGCGATCCCTCCAAGAGCGTGGCGCTCAGAGCAGAGACTGTGAGGGCTCCTGTGCCAGTTCTCCCGTTGGGGTCTTGCTAAAATGGTCTAGAAAACCGGGAGAATAAGAACACCCACTTTGTGCACATGTGGTGTAATTAAGTGACACAGGTGCAGAGTCCGGTACAGAGCAGCCCTCAGGACACGCGCGCTACAACAGCTGTTTAGTGCCATCTCTAGGGTCCTCGCCACAAGCCTCCATCCTTCCTCTCGTTCCCTGTGGCTCAACTTTGGCTCTACCAGGCAGCATCTAGGTAATTAAGGGCTTTACGAATCCCTTAGGGGCCTCTTCGGAGCAAAGCAGAATGTACCTGTATCTCCTGTAACTCGAGCTCAGAGGATCAGGGAGCAGAGCAGTTCGGGTCCTTGGGAGGAGGCTGCCTGTTCCCCAGAAGAGGGAACGGAGGCCCAGACAGAGGCGTGTCTTCCCAAGACGCACGGGCCGAGCAGCGCAGTGCAAGGACACAAGTCTGGGACCTCTGAGGGTCATGGTGTGGCCTGCCCCTGGGAGATGGCAAGCCCTGAGATACTCACTTTTTTTTTTTAATTAAACATTAAAAAAAAATTTTTTTTTAACGTTTATTCATTTTTGAGAGATGGAGAGAGACAGACCGTGAGTGGTGGAGGGGCAGAGAGAGAGGGAGACACAGGATCCGAAGCAGGCTCCAGGCTCTGAGCTGTCGGCACGGAGCCCGACGTGGGGCTCGAACCCATGAACCCTGAGATCATGACCTGAGCTGAAGTCAGATGCTTAACTGAGCCACCCAAGTGCTCCAATTTAATTTTTTTAAATGTTTATTTTTGAGAGAGAGACAGACCACAAGTGGCGGAGGGGCAGACAGAGAGGGAGACACAGAATCCCAAGCAGGCTCCGGGGTCTGAATTGTCAGCACAGAGCCCAATGCAGGGCTTGAACTCACAATCCATGAGATCATGACCTGAGCTGAAGTCGGACAACTTAACCGACTGAGCCACCCAGGCTCCCCTGAGATTCTCATTCTTAGGCAGACAAAATTAATTAACAAAAGGAAATGACACATTCAAGACCGCCTGGTGGCCATTTTACCCAGCACGAGCATCACAGGAACTCAGTGAATGACACCATCCTTTCCCACCGCATTTGATGATTTTGGAAACTGCTCACAATCGAAAAAGCCTAAGGCCTCGGCTCTGCTAAGAAGACACGGAGCCCCTGGGAAAAGTTACAGGGACGCTGAGGAATCCAACTCTCCAAGAGTGACTATTACAGGACAGAATATTAAATACTTACAGGGTAGGATGTTTTTATATCTATTTTTGTTCTTATTTTCTTGTCTCTGACCCTCTTTTCTGCTGTAGAGAAGTTTGCACTCCTGTTGCTGTAGTGTCTGGAGAGGAAAAAAAGTAAATATTATTGCATGTCGAAAGCTTTAAAAAAAAAAAAAAATCCTGGCTCAGCATTTCTGCTTTAGGAACGTTATCCTTGGAAATGTTCAGAGTTGCATACAACAGCTACAGATATGCTCATCTTAACGCCATGTCAACAATGTCAAGAACAATTTCCAAGAAGAAAGGACGGCCTGGACAGCACTACCATTAATTCACACAAACGGGTGCTCTGCGACCATTAAAAAAAAACGTTCTTGGGGCGCCTGGGTGGCTCAGTCGGTTAAGGGTCCGACTTCAGCTCAGGTCATGATCTCACGGTTCATGGGTTCGAGCCCCGTGTCGGCCTCTGTGGTTCGAGCCCCGTGTTGGCCTCTGTGCTGACAGCTCAGAGCCTGGAGCCTGCTTCAGATTCTGTGTCTCCCTCTCTCTCTGCCCCTCCCCTGCTCGTGCTCGGTCTCTTTCAGTCTCTCAAAAATAAATAAATGTTAAAAAAAAATTTTTTTTTAAATGTTCTTGGAGAATTTTTAATGCCTTGAAAAGATGATCAGAGTAAACATTAAGTGAAAAGAAGGTCAAACTTCCAAAACAGTGTATTACATAAGCCATATGTCTGCATTAGCCTATGTATATGAGAAATGGCAAAAGAATATATACCAAAAAAGGAATGGGAGTGTTTTTTTTTTCAGGGTACTAGAATTATGAAGCCTTTTCTTCATTTTTTTAAACTTTGTTTGTTTGTTTGTTTGTTTGTTTTTGCCTTAAGTTTTTAGTGGATAAATATTTATTAGGACAGAAACCTTTTAAATTTTTAACTTTTTAAAAAATATTTATTTTTGAGAGAGAGAGAGAGAGAGACTGAGCACAAGTGGTGGAGGAGCAGAGCGAGAGGGAGACACAGAATCCAAAGCAGGCTCTAGGCTCTGAGCTGTTAGCATAGAGCCCAATGCGGGGTTCGAACTCATGAGCTGTGAGATCATAACTTAAGCCAAAGTCAGATGCTCAACCAACTGAGCCACTCAGGCATGCCAGGAAAGAAACCTTTTCTTATTTTTTTAATGTTTATTTATTTTTGAGAGACAGAGAGAGAGGACATAGGTCGGGGAGAGGCAGAGAGAGAGGGAGACAAAATGTGAAGCAGGCTCCAGGCTCTGAGCTGTCAGTACAGAGCCCGACACAGGGCTTGAACTCATGAGCTGTGAGATCATGACCCAAGCCTAGGTCAGACACTTAACCGACTGAGTCACCCGGGCACCCCTAAGAAACCTTTTAAAATAACAATTATTAGGAACGAAAGTTGGGGCGCCTGGCTGGCTCAATCACAAGAACGTGTGACTCTTGATCTTGGGTTGTGGGTTCGAGCTTCACATTCGATGTAGAGATTACTGAAAAACATAAATAAACTTAAACAAAAAAGACTGAGAGCCAATGAGCATTGGTGTAGAGCATATAAATAATGGCTGTGATCATGCTCTTGACTTTATGATCTGCTGCCTACTTTTACCATCGTTTAATTCAGAGCAAGCCACATACTACCTCTCAAATTCGGATACAGTAGAAGTGGTACCGGGTACCACTGGATCACGGGCATGCAAGCTTTGCTCCTCCTATCCCAGAAACCCTATGCCCTAGGCAGGCAGCGTGAGTCTGCTTGTGTCTACACAAACACCCACTCCCTACGTTTTCCCCAGCCAGGGAGTAAGGAAGGGAATGTCAGGCTCTTAGAGCAAGTGGTCAGGAGGGACTCCCCTTCAGGGAAAGGAGGTGGGGAACGCGATCTGAGAGAGCCACAGAGGGGCTAGCCCCGGCAGAAGAGGGGTTGTGGGGAAGCGAGAAGGACCAGCTGCAGAAATAGACATGAAGGTGCACAAGCCAGGCAGAAGCATGTTCAAGGGGTTAAGGTTTTATTTTCAAAATTACAAGAAGTACCTCTTTGAAGGACCATTAGTTTCTAAAAAGTCTAATGTGTAAGCGGAATTCACGAATGGGCAAATCAAGAGGCACCTGGTGGGCTGAGCATCTGACTTCGGCTCAGGTCACGATCTTGCGGTTCATGAGTTCGAGCCTCACGTTGGGCTCTGTGCTGACAGCTCAGAGCCCGGAGCCTGCTTCAGATTCCGTGTCTCCCTCTGTCTCTTTGCCCCTCTCCCCCTCGCGCGCTCTCTCTCTCTCTCTCTCTCTCTCAAAAATAAATAAACATTTAAAAAAATGGCAAATCAAGAAAGTGGAAGGGACACTGAATAAAGAGAAGAAAATATATGTGTGCTATACATGTATATATAAATTCCAAAATGGTTAGCCCATCGAGGTTTCTATAAGGAGCAACAGTCAATATTGCATAGCACAGTGGCCCGCTAGATTTCCATTTCATTTATCTGAATTTCACAGACAGGTATCAAAGTCGAGACTTTAAATTGCTATTTGGCTCTCAGTTTGAAAATGCAATAATTGGGCTTGACACACAGCTCATAACAAAAGTCGGTCCCCGGCTGAAACCCAGGAGGACTAAACTACAATGTACACAGACCTCGGATGATGAGACAGTCATTCCAATTCTTAAAAGGAGCTCGGATTAAGTAATTAAGGCCATTTGCCTTCTGCGAGCTGGCATTTCCTCTGAACTGTGAGCCAGTCTTACTGAGCAACACTGCTGTGTTAGGAGAAGAAGGTTCAGTCTTGATTTTCAGACATTAAGGTGAGGTTCAAAAAGAAGCCCAAACTCTACAAGCTGACTCAAGCACTTAAAAGCCAAACAAGTGAAGAGAAACAACATCAACAAAAGCTACAAGGTGGGGGTGGCTAGGAAATAATAAGCTGCTTGATTCAAAACAAACCTGACAGCGACGCGTTCAAGTGCTCACTTACGAAACATACCTCGCGTGATGCTTTGCTGGCGGAGGCACAGGCCTGAGCTGTCTCTATAAAAGGCAAATTTCACCCAGACCCTCCCTTGCTCAGGCTCCAGTGTCTACCCCGGCCTGCAACCAAGTTCCAGCTTTTCAGAACTCACGCTCCTCCTCTTCTCTGCCTCTAACCTCAGCCAGTCTGTCTATGCCTCAGCTTCCTCGAGTGTAAGGTGGGGAAAATCCTAACTACCTACCCCACAGGGTCAGTGTAAGAGTTAAGGGAGATTACTACAAAAGGTGCAAAAACACGGCACATTGGTTGGACCATCTATTCAGGTCAGCCAGGGGCTCCCCCAACCCTGTATCAAGTTACCAATCGCCTCTTTCATGCGGATTTGGGGTCTGAACAGCACACAGGCTGAGACAGGCCTCTGGGCCCCAGGGTCTTCCAGAACGGACAAGCTCCAGAGCGCCTGCGTCCCAGGCACAGTCGGTGCTAACTGGCAGCGGCTGGCAGTTGTCACAAATTAGTAATGACCAACTGTGTGTCTCTCCCCCCAGCTCCTTCCTTAGTGCCCATTGGCCCATTCTCATCTGTGCCTGGGGCCCAAGTTGTCTGAACACATTTCGTTTTCCACAGTGGAAGGCTGCCCTCCATCCAGAGTGAGGCTGAAAATAAAAAGGGCGGCGACTTTCCCTGCTCTGCCTGCAGAGGCTCCCCAACTGCACCCGAGACAATCAGCTGCCACCTGCTATGGGGTGCTTCCTCCCCAGCGCCAGGCTGATGACCGGAAGAAGCAGAAGACTATCCAGCGAGCCGGCCCCTGCCCGTCACAACCCTTCCATGGCTTATCTTCCACAACCTCCTCCCCAGCAGTCCCGGTGGCACACGAAAAAAGCTGCGAACGACCTGTCAGGCTAAATGTCACAGTGTCTCCAGCCCCATTCTCCACTGGGCAGTGGCAGGGATGCTAATGATAATGACAGGCAGAAGAAGGGACAACGTAAAGCTGGGGTGCAGGCTGCAAGATCCCACTTTCCCCAAGTAACACCACAAAGAGTTTGGATCAAATGCCGAACCCTCAAAATGTGCCAGAGGTTAGTTACCATCGCCTGATTGCATGAGTCAAAACAGATCTAGAGCCAAAGGGATTGTATCAGATTTTAAGTCTTAAAAAGCACCAAGAGAAGCCAATTCCCTGATCCACACTGCATATTTACAAGCACCTGGCTGGCTCAGACCGTGGAACATGCAACTCTTGATCTCAGGGTTGTGAGTTCGAGCTCCACATGGAGTGTAGAGATGACTTAAAAATAAAATCTTAAAAAAAAAAAAAAAAAAAAAAACGAAGAAGAAGTGCCCAGGAGCATGACCAACTGTGGATGGGACAAGTGCTCACGTGCAGAACCATCCCCTGACATTTATGACCAGGAAACACTCCTGCTTCCCACCCCCGGGGCCCCTCCCAGCCTAAATGCCAGGGGCAGCGTCCCCAGTCACTATAATGACCGAATGGGACCCCCACAAGGCTTCAAAAGCCCTGATTGAAAGCCACTGGACCTGGCTCTTGACCAGAATGTCAGGAATCCAAACAGAGGAGCAGGTTCAAGGAGAGACAGACAGGCAGGAAACACACCGGCAGAACCACGCATCCCCAGGTACCACGACAATGACAAGGGCCCAGTGACCATTCTGCCTGCACTGTTCCGGGCAACGGGGACAAATCACAAAAGTAACACCAGCAACCATCAAGGCCAGAGCAAACCACAATTACCTTGCCTTTAAAAACAGAACTACAAGGGCGTATATACTGCATGGGGTAAGGGAGGGGTGGGGATGGAGAAACAAGACTGGCGAAACGTTTGCAAGTGTCAAGGGTGCGGGTAGGGGAAGAGAAGGTCCATCGTACTATCTTCTCTACTTTGGGGTATTCAAAAGCTTCGATAACAGAAGGTTTCTCATGAACAAAATAAAAGCTAGAAGTGTAAAAGCTCCTACCGGCTCTGCCCCCACCCCACTCTTGGCTGCAGCCTCCCGAAGGACAGAGAGGGAGCGGAGCAAGACTGCCGGGCAGGTGGGCTCCTGGCCCTGACGCCGTGAATGATTATTAGGACAGCGGTAACCACCTGGGCAGGATCCGAAACCAGGCCTGCTA